CTGAGGCTTCCCAGATGCCCCGAGAGGAAAGAAATGAATGGTGTGATTGAGGAGGCCAAGCACTGGGGCAAAGGGAAGCCGCTGCTGGCCCCTCTGTGAGCTAAAGGAAGTGGCAAGGTGAAGAAGTCCAGGTCTCTGAGGGAGGTGGAGGGGATTTTGCGACCAGGGGACCAACCTGAGCTAATCTCTGGCACCCATCCTGCAGTGTCGATGCCAAAGGGGACTGCCCTCTGGACATTTTGAAAACTTAGAAATCCCAAACTATTTTTGAAATGTCCCGCTCAAGATGTAGTGAGTGAGGCGATTGGGGGGGGAGGGGGGTCTATAACCTGACATTTCTGGCAGCAGGCTCTGCCTTGCATGAGAAACACCAGTTCTGGATAGAGAAGCCCTGGGTGGATCTATGGCAGTGGCCTCATAAAAACTTTTAGGGAGGAATCATGAAGGTTGCGCTACTCTTGTGTTTCTTTTTGCAGAATCTTAAGTGGAGACCAGTTTTGCCCCAAGCACAAAGTAGACAGAAGTACAAAAACTTCCTGTTTGCAGCTCCTGAGAACGTGTTCCAGTGATGGAACCTCAAAGGAATTTGTGCATTCCTCTCCCACAAGTGTCCAGGGCAAAAGTGCTGGGAGAATGAGTTCACAGAAGAAGCAAGAATGGCAGAGCTCTGTGAGATGAGCCAGTGTTCAAGAGAAAGAAAAATAACTAAGTGAGCCAACACACTAGTTTTCCTCCATATAAAAAAGTTTGGGTAAAAGAGCTACTCAGAACTATAAGCCACACGTGTAACTTTCCCAAGACACACACTGGGCAAGCTTACACAGAGACTATAACCTGTCCCAGTTGGTATGTCCAAAGCCTAGTCTCCTTACTTCCTGCCAGGAGTTCCAGGTCTGTCAGAGGACTCCATTACTGAAGTTCACCTGGATGAGAGGAAGGGAACGGTTTCCCAGTTAGGACAAAGTCCAGTCTCCAGAGGGACTGTGATCTGTGTGTGCATCCACACACCAACATTTTGATTTGACTGAAAGGGTACAGGTGGGCAGGGCGACGCAGAAGACTCCCAACTTTACATGATGAGACAGTGGAGCAGCAGCCAGCCAGTTTGAAGTTTGGGCATGTTTGGGATGCAGCCCTGATTGTGTATAAAAGGTGAGTTTCTGAGGGAAATTCAAATACCCTAAAAATAGCCTGAGGGCCCAAAGGCTAATGGTTAACAAAAATTCCATGAATCTTTGGTGTTTGGATTCGTGGAGTCCCGATCAGAATATTTAGGAACTACCAGATGCTTAAGCAAGTGGGAATGCACTTGTAATCTTCAGTTTGTAGCTGGCAGAAAGAAAATAGAATGGAAAGTACAGCCGGGCAGTGGTGGCACACACCTTTAATCCCAGCACTGGGGAGGCAGAAGGAGTCAGATCTCTGTGAGTTCGAGACCAGCCTGGTCTACAAGAGCTAGTTCCAGGACAGCCTCCAAAGCCACAGAGAAACCCTGTCTCAAAAAAAAAAAAAAAAAAGAAGAAGAAAAAGAAAGAATGGAAAGTACTATATTACAGGAGGGAGAAATGAGATTGGAGCATTATTAACTATCAATTAAAAAACATCAGTGGTTCAGAAGCAGCCTTTCTGTGGAGAGAGAATAACTATGCAAAGTAGAGAAGCATCCAAGTGTGTGACAACCTTTGTGTAATAAAATTTTGTTTAAAGTTAAAAGAAAACTAACAGTGGGGTCATTAATGCAGCTTGGAGGTGTGGCGATGGATCTGAACCAAGAGAAGTTATTGGACTGAGCCTGGAGAGATCAGTAGGCCTGAATATTCAGGTGAAAATATACACAATAAAGACAAATGTTCTTGGCAAAATCAGAAAACTGCTTGGGGATACACAGCTCAGTAATAGAGTGCTTGCCCACATGCTCAAGGGCCAGGATTTGATCTCTAGCACCAGGCAATAGAAGAGCAAAAAATAGAACTTAACAGGCATGTGTCACATAATTCTTCCCCTGTTGTTAAACTGACTGTGGAGACAGTGAAAGGATCTGTAAGTTTAAAAAGAGAAGTATCTGCTGCCATAGCACCAAGGACTCAGCTACCTCCATCAGTTTACTAACAGGTGCTTCTTCTAGCTCAGGGCAGGGTACCATGATGTCACCACCCTGACCCAGGAGCAATGCTCTAGTTATAAGCTGTTTTAATGTAAAACCCTTCCCCACAAGACCCCCTGCTTTTGCACTTGATTTTCTTCCATTTGTTTTTGCAATGTCTGTGTTTGAAACTGGAGAGTGTGATGAATAACCACTTCAGGTGATATATAAGTCTAACGTAATGCAAATTATCCCCTAAAAAATTAGTAATTTCCCCCAGAAGGTGCCACAAAAATAGTACCAAGAAGCAGACATCAGCTATATAATGATTGTTCCCACTCCTCCTCTCTCTCTCTCTCTCTCTCTCTCTCTCTCTCTCTCTCTCTCTCTCTCTCTCTCTCTCTCTCTCTCTCCCTCTCTCCCTCTGTCCCTCCCTCCCTCATCTGTTTAGTTTGGGAGATGTTTTCCATGGACCTGCCCATGTTACCTAATTATACACCCATTATTTTTAAGTTGCTTAAGAAGTTTCTGAGTTTGGTTATTGTGTAAGCCTGGGTAAGACTTACAAAGCTACACTCATAGCCAGCACACACATATAGACACACACACAATGTAAATACAAACTCACTAATCTATTCTGTAGATTTAGGGTGGGGTTTTTTGTTTGTTTGATCTCACTCTGTAACTTTTCTCAGTGTTCCCAACTTCACCTCTTTGCATTTTTTGCCATTTCTGGTACTTTGTAATCACTTGTATCCTTCAGGCTGTAAAGTATCCCTAGTCAGTGAACTGGCTTTGTTTACTAGAAGTCAGGTCAAGCTCAGCTGTACTTTACAAGGCTGTATCTGCCATAGTCTTTGGACAACCAAAGTCCAGTGAGCTGCTTAGCATCTGGGGGCCTCTTCCAGATGTACTGTGTGAAACCTGCTGCAGGGCTGAGATGAAGGTGGGAACATCTGCGAGCTTAGGCCTGGCTTGAGGGGCTTTAGAGCCCAGTCATCATCCCTTGCTTTATTTCTCTGAGATGGTTCTGTGGGCAGTTAAGTACCAACAGAACTCTTTAAGAAATTCATGTATGTGAAACCTGAGCGCCTCGAGTGAAAAAGACGGCATGAACTGGAAAAACTAAAGAAATGTAGTTTACTTATTAGAAAAAGAAATGAAACTTGCTGGTACAAGAAAGAGTTGGAGAAGAGGGAAAAAACAGGAGAAGGGGGAAGGAAAAAGGAAGGGAAAGAAAAAA